ACATGGCACTCCGCCCGCTACGAAGAGCGAATAGTGAAGAGGATCCAGTATAGAAGTAAAGCCTTTGAAAAGACATCGTGCAGGAAGATTTCAAATTATTAAGAATTTTAATAAAGAAAGCGGTGATGATATTAATACTGAAGTTTTGGGATCAGTAACGCAAATCACCAGACGGGAAGCAAGAAAAACGGGACGATTAAGGAAAGCATATTTTAGCTTGCAAAGTGTTATTTTTGTGATTCCTAATCTGGGTTGGCGTGGGATGGAATACAGGAAATCCGGTCCGTTTAAGAAATCCTAATCTTCCTGAAAAAAAAAAAATGTTAGAAGAAACAATCTACCTTAAGTTCCTGTAACAAGATCTATTATTGTAGTAAGTACTAGTTTTGACAATAGTGATAATTACGAAGATAACTGCAATAATGATAGCAATAGCAATTATTATGATGTGACGATAGCAATTACGGTAATATTCCTACTATTACTTCTATTACTACTACCATAGGCGTAGGAAAGTATTTTGAAGCAGGGGCGGGGCAAGGAGGTCTTCCCCGAATATGCCGCCCGCAGGCACACCCCCGGCCCCCGGCTGATTATCAATTATTACCATTTTATTATTGGGGCTCCTTACTGAAGTACCTATTTTGATTACGTTATTGAGTATTATTTACATGTCATTTATCATTATTCAATCATTATCAGTTATCCTCGCATGTATTCTACTATCATTATACTAACTCATTATCATTATGCGTTCTATATCCATTTCATTATGTATGTCGTTGTCGTTTTATCATTATTTATGTATTATTCCTTACTTTTATTGTATGATTGTTATTACCTATTCTTCATCATCAACGATAATAATCACATTGTATGATGATTAGTAAACGGTGAATACGTGATAGACTTAACAATCATTGTTAACGGTATTCTAATCTGATCATGACAATAATGCTATGATGATGGGGTATCAATGAATGAAAAGTGATAAAAAAAATATCGTGAGTATAGTGATGGTAATGTAATGATAAATTGATGATGATATTTGTTAATAATAGCTAATGATCTGATAAGTAATAATAGATTAAACTATAATAATAATGTATGATAATGAAACTTTTTCTGTAAATCTTAAAAAACTTACTAATGATATGATAATACAGCACTGAGTGGATAATGTATGATTGAATACTACTTTCAATAATTAATGTACATGAACATAACAACAGTTAGTTGTATACATAATGATAATTATACATTATAATAGCACACAATAATTGTATAATATATAATAAGAGAAAAAGTGATAATCGCATATATTATAAGGACATAATTGAAAATAATCAACAAATATCCATAAATTATGGTATGATGCATAATATTGATACTTAGATAATTAGTTTGAAACACAATGATAAATGGTATGGTTGTTGTTGATGATACAAGCAGATGACAAGCCTGTTATCTAAGTATAAGGAAAATGTTATTTGTTTACATGATAGTAGTAGGATTACATAATGGATAATCATGATAACTAATAATGATAATGACAATTTTGATAATAACAATGAAAACCATGTTAACATTAATAGATGGATGATCATAGATACAAATTATAAGTCCTAGATGAGTAGAATAATGATAATTAGTAATAGATAGCATGATAATGATCTAATGCTGTGATGATAATGATGATAATAAGAAGAAATATAATAATGATAATAATAATAATCAGATAATAAGTATCATTTAATAAAATCGATATGATGTAATAGATAATATAGATAACTTAATAATAACATATAACAATAATGATCAGTAATAATAATAATAACCTAATATGGACAAGATAATGGCCAGACAACCATAACTCGACTAACCGTGATAATAATAATGTGACAAATGAATACTATCATCAATGTATGAACTTATAATGGGCTAATTATAACTAATAACAACACATATAATGATATATATTAATAAATTATACTAATAATTAATAATGAATAACTAATAATGATAAGTGAACTAATAAGTAATAGTACTTAATCACATAATACATAATGAATAGATAATCAATACATACTTAATGAATAATAATATATTAATTCGAATAATGTAAAATAGATAATAATTAATACATAGTAACATATAATGTAAGCAATGATGGGATGGTCATGAGGATGAAGATGATGATGATGATGATGATAATGATAATAATCATAGCTAAAATTATAGTAATAAGAATAGCGTATGGAAAAGATGAATGGAAATATTTGTGCTGCCTAGCGAAGCGTCATAACCGAAGCACTTTCCATCAGCGACGAATAAAAGTGCGCAACCTGATGTACTTTACGCCCGCGAATTGCCACTCTCACTTTTCACATGTTGGAAATTTGTGGGTGAAATGTGAAGGACTTTCTCTCTCTCTCTCTCTCGTCCTCTCTCTCCTCTCTCTCTCTCTCTCTCTCTCTCCTCTCTCTCTTCTCTCTCTCTCTCTCTCTCTCTCTCTTCTCTCTCTTCTCTCCTTTCTCTCTCTTTCTCTCTCTCTCTCTCTCTCTCTCTCTCTCTCTCTCTCTCTCTCTCTCTCTCTCTCTCTCTCTCTCTCTCTCTCTCTCTCTCTCTCTCTCTCTCTCTCTCTCTCTCTCCTCTCTATATATATATATATATATATATATATATATTATATATATATATAGTATATATGTATGTATGTATGTATGTATGTATGTATGTATGTATGTATGTATGTATGTATGTATATAGTGTGTTTATATATAATTCGCTGCGTAAATTACCTTCTCCAGCTATCATAGATATAAAGAATTTATTGTTTCGATGATGGAAATATTTATTAGATATTCATGTGTATTTACAGTATGATTAAATGGCCTTTTACGTCTTTACTTTCGGTTACTTTTGAAATTTGAACGTTAGAATGATATAAAAAACAACAAAGCACCACGCAGTATAAAGTCTAGACTGCCTTATCCTCCTTCAATTTTGTTTATTATTTCTACACAATAATTAAGCTATTTTTAAAGAGTCCGTTATATGACCATTCACCTGTTATTCCATTTGTGCGTTTTTTTTTACATATATAACCTGTTGTTTACGGTGAAATAAGTACCTAGAACACATAGGATCGAGGCGACGTACCGTCACCCGATAAAGGGATTGAAATCCTTTTTATCATACAAAATAAAAATCCAGTCCTCTATTTCTAGGTCTCTCGATGCTCTTTTGTCCCCTTGTGATCCGCCTTTCCTCCGCCGCTTCTCCGCAGCCTCGTATGTTTACACTTTCCTCAAAAAACGTTAATTAATAGATGTCTTTTCCTCGGGATGCTTTTAATCTTTATCTTGAGGTGATAAGCGAGTGATATGAGAGAGCGAAGAAGAGAAGAGAAGAAGAGAAGAAGAGAAGAGAGCCAAGAGAACAAGGAGGCGCAGGAAGGAGAGAGGTGGTGTTTTTTCTTCTATTAATTCCTTCTTTTGGAGGGTAAACAGCTGATTTTTGTAGATTTTTTCATTATTCAAGATGTGGGTTGGGGTTTTAGTTTTGATGCGTATGTCTCCTTTGCGGTTTGTGCAGTGGATATTTTGTATTATTATGATATAATTGTGGTTATGAATTATTTTCTTAGATTAATTATTATTTCAGTGCCGAGTTTATTTCGTTGTGCATATATTTATGTGTTTCCAATGATTGTGTTCTTTTCATTTATCTGTGTTTTGCATTATGAGTTTTACAATCTATCAGTCAGTTTCTCAATATAATGGATTTTATTTTATTTACCAAGTGAGTGTGTTGAGAAAAACTGAAGATATTGTGCAAATTAATGAGTAAAGAAGGAAAGCGAAACAGAACCTGATAAATAAGAGTAAAACCAAGTGCGATATTAAAATCGGAAAGAAGAATACATAAAAATGATCTCCTGGACTTTGTTTTCTTTGATATATGTGCAACTTTGAGTAAAGGTGAGTGGAAAGGTGGTGTGAATTGCTTTTATATATGTTGTAAAGAAAGTAAAGCAGTTATATTTAGATAATGTCAGTCCAAATGATGATTATTTTATTATCGTGTTTATACTACTTTTCCCTTGGTAATTGTTTAGAAGAGGACTGCATGACATGATGCAGTGGTCTTTGCATTTTGCATTTCAGCAAAGGATGAGAGACCTTTTCCCTTAACATTCAGTAAGATTAGGTTGCACTAGCCCTATTTTTGATGATAAATTGTCAGAGAGGTTGGTGAGTTCTTTTATAGAGGAATGTGTATGGCAGAGGTTTCTGAGCCTTTGTTGGAAGGTCACAATATGGTTGTGCAGATTCAGAGATTGTGATAACTGATTGTGGCTTTACCTTCTGCAAATAACTTTTTATTCCTAACCATATTCATTGATGTGATTTTTGTGTTTTTTGAGTATTTCATAATCTTTGCACAGTCCTGTTCTGAACATTTACTGTTGTCATTGTTTATATGAATGTTATAATTGTCTTGTACTTTGCCTACTGCTTGTTTTGGTAATTGTTACTGAGAGCAACGCACCTTCTAAGAGACAATTCCCAAAAACCAAGGTATCATGTAAACCATAAAATCTAACCTAACCTTTACTACCTTCCATTTATTCCCTAGACAGGAGGGCAAGCCTCCCCTGTACCCCCCATTTGTTAGCACTTTGTGCCAAACTGTAGAAAACAAACTTTAAGAACTCAGGACGTGTGAGTGTGTTGTTGACATTCTCTGAGCAGTGATATGCAGCGGATATTTTTGTCATTTACCGGAAAATATGAGGCCACTGCAGTTTAAATTGTGTTGTTTCTTACCCTTTTCGGATGCTCTAAAAGGTGGCGATTGCTTGTCTGTCTCAGTAACATATAGGCCTACTCGTTTATTTTTTTGTTAAATGTTGTTTTGTATGCCTATGAATTTCTTACAGATGATATTTAAGACCTTCAACCTGTTGTTTCCAAGGTCATGCACTGTCCATTACAGAATTATTTTTGTGTGTATATGTGTGTGAGTGTATATGCATGTAGTGTGTGTGATTTTGTGTGTGTGTGTGGGGGGGGGGGGGGGGGCACGCATTCACATATGCATGTGTGTGTGTGTGGGGGGGGGGGAGTAGGCTTGCATCTAGGGGGGAGGAAGGGCTTTAGAATCAAGGTGAAGATAAACATTTTGTTTTAACATTTTGCGCACTGAAGATAGCATAGGTGTGTGAAATTATCCATAGCTCTGGGTAATATGAAACATGATTATAAGACTATCCACAGTGAACTGATCTAAATTTCAGCCAGATTAGCCGTATTTTTTAACCTGTTTGATTCAGATGTTTCACTGCCGTCATGTGGCCCAAACTACTAGCATTAGGCATACTTGAGAGGCCATTCTGATGGGTGTGCAGCTTGTAGGCTGGGCACATATAAACACTCGTGTACTGACAAAAATGTATGCTTCCCCTCTGCGATGTTATTTTCTCTCTTTCTGGAAAAGTGAAAAGTTTGATTTGCTAAATCCAACTGGTGATAGACTGTTTTCTACACACATATTCCATATCATCTCTTTTGGTAGTCCATAACTCAGGGCAATAATAATAGCAATAAGTAAAATGTTATTATTTGTGTCATTTTATTTTATTTTTTAATTTTTTTGCAATATTCAATTTTCTGTAATACAACCTGCGTGGCTGCTCACCCTCCAGTATCCTTCTTGGAGCTGGTGCTCTTCCAGTCATGACTCACAGACATTGTATTCCATACTGGTTTATGGATGAGAATAATGCAAAAGCCTCTTCCTAAACACCAAATGAGTCTAATCACCCTCCAAGAGCTTTGTGCACTTGTGGCAAGTCATTCCTGTCACTCTGGCCTTCAGCTGAAATGCTCATGTTTGCATCACCTCGACCCACAGCACATCACCTGCCTCTCAAGCCTGATTTTTTCATAGGAGTTAAAGAATGAGAAAAAAAATTCTCATACTACTACTGCTTAATGTCTTCAATATTCTTTTCCTTTAGCAAAAAAGGGACAGACAGTTCATATTGCAATGTGTTATATTTTGCATAACGTAAGTACTAATCCCATACACTTTAATTTGGCACATGACTATAGAACACTTGTCTACTAGTAAACTTTGCCAATTAACATAGTGATCATGCTGTTGGCTAATCAACCTGACCAAATCTTTTCATAAACAAGCTATAAGAGAGGTGATGATAACTATAGTCTGTCTAACTTCTTGAAGGGTAAATAAGTAGCTACTCACCCTGCACTCTGGAGCTCTCAATTTTCCAAGTTGCTTTAAAGAAGAAATTATAATTTATTGCTGCAGTTTCAATACAAAAATAAAAATCCAAACACAAGTATTAATCTATTGGATGCAGATACTTTCCTGCCATCACTTGGCCCAAAATATGGGCAATAGGGCACTTTGACATTTGTTTAGCTTGTAGGCTGGGTGCACATGAATACGTGTGGTGACAAGACTCTATGCCTCCCCTTTGCAGTGTTATTTCCTCTTTTTCTGGATAAGTAATTTTAGCTTCTTTGCCATTTTCCAATGTTTATGTCATTGGATTTGCTTTATGCAGGTGGTAATAAACTATTTCCCTTGTACCAACTCTGTATCATCTCTCTAGGTCAGGGGTGTCATACATGTGGCCTGCCGCACTCCTGTATGCAGTCTTATAGTCAGCCGTTTCACATGATTAGTGAAGCCAGTCCTTCATCTTTTAAGATGAAGACACTTTTTTATTATTTATTTTATGTTTTATTTTTTCTGTTATTGTGTTTTTGTAATGAATTAAATGGTCTTCTATGTTTTCATGTGAACCATAAGGCTGTTTCATTGCATCGACTCATGATTATTTGGCCCACATACTCTATACTAAGGTTAATTGTGGCCCCCTGGGGTAAATGAGTTTGACATCATAACTCAGTGCAATAATAATAATCATAATTAACATTTTGTTATTAGTGTCATTTATTTGTTTTTTTATAATATTCATTTTTTTAGATATAACTTGTGCTGCCAGTCTCGGTGGCCAGTAATAGAAACCTGAGCATAGAACAGGTTTTCCGGACAATTTTTAAAAAATATTGAAATATCTTACAGAATTTTTGGGGAAATTTAAGGCTTTAAAAGATCTTAAAAAATGGAGCTTTTCCTGTCGCAGGTCTTGAAATATTTTCAAAATCTTTGTGTAAATAAAAATATATGTTACTGGTGGTCGCCGTCACACTTCACTCAGAAATCATTTGTCAGCAATATTAGACCATTTACTTTTGGCAAAAAAAAAAAAAAAAAAAAAAAAAAAAAAAAAAAAAAAAAAAAAAAAAAAAAAAAAAAAAAAAAAAAAAATCTGGCATGGACTGTCAGAGAGAGACTGTAAAAGATATGGGGTGAATTTTTTATTTTGGTCGCTGATGCGATATGTAGGCCTACACATTATGGGGAAGTGTGTATTGAGGAACAAGTGGCTCCAGGTCTTAAAAAGCAATTGACATGAGTCTTAAAAAGTCCTAAAAAGGTCTGAAATTTCCTCAGCTTATACCTGCAAGAACAGCATTCTCAGTCAAATTTTCCTGTGATAGTACGTTCATGTCACCTACCTCTAAAGCTAATTTTTTTATGATGATGGTCATGTCATCAAGATCATAGGGGTTAAGAGTTTGGTAATTAGAATAGAAAACAACTTGGTGACAGAGAACTCAAGGATTTAGTGTGACTGGCCAGTTTTTATGTTCCAGAGATTAGATGTACTAAATGATATTAGCCACATTTGAACTTGAAGTATTAATCAAAATTTTTTTGTTCTTCACCCTTTACTTTATTAGATATACCCTCACTTACAATTGTAGGTTCAACATGTCGAGGGAGAAGTCTCACTGTGCATGGGGAATTGCTTTCCTGTATAACAGCTGCTCCTTGTTTTTGAGTTGTAGGAAATCCTACTGATTTAATGAGAATGCTTGTAATCTACTGATGCGTTATTTTTCCAATTTTCCTTCTTAATCTAAGCTTTCTTTAAAAAACATGTCTGTAGTAGTTTTTCTGTGTGCTTTTTTTTTTTTTTTTTTTTTTTTTTTTTTTTTTTTATGCCATCAGCATAGATTTTGTACAAGATTAGCACTGTGAAGTTAGATATTAATACTAATCTCATTCCAACAAGCAACAAAGGATTATGAAAAATAAGTTTGAAAAACTAAATCAACATTCTACACAAACAGTTTGCAGAGGCAAAGAAATGCATATCATCTTCAGTCTGAGTTTGGATTTTTTTTATATAAATTTATTCTAGTTCCATGTAAGTTCACAATATTTTAAGATAAGGATTAAGCTAAAGGACCACATTTTTTCTCTTTCCCAATGCAAAACCATTTCATATTAACAGTGGTCATTAAAATTTTTCAACACATTTCAAAAATTATCCCTTACTATAAAGTTACTACATTTTATGGTACCTAAGTTTTGACAATGCAAGCTCAGTCCTAAAGGAAAGTTAACATCTAAGCTTTATGATGCAATGGCTGCAAGATCCAAATACAGTTTCTTTTAGAATTTCTTTTAAAAACCCAACAAAAGTTTTTTATGTTGGGAAATATGATTGGTTTTAATTTTCTCAGTTAATTCATAGTCAGGTAAATTAATCATAGATAACCAATAAGGATTGATACCAAAAATAGAGCTGTGCTGCTGTATAGCAAATTGACCTATATGACATGTATAAGACATATGAATGGGAAGGAATAATTCCATAGAGCAAGATTAACTATAGCTTTGATATATTTTTGCAGAATTACATAATCCGGACTGAGGCGTAATATTGAAACTATGTTACCAATCTTTCAGTGGAATTGATTTACGCATTCATATTTTTTTCTGCTGATGTATAGTCATCAGTGTTTTTTCAATAGTCTACTGGTGCTCTTTTCAGGAATCATTATTGTTGAAGTTTTTGTAACTTCCAGGTATGAGAGTTGTTCTGTCAGCTTAACTTGGAATGTGAATTAGATATAGTGCATTGGCTGTCTAATTGATAAATTATTTTTATGAAATTTGATGATTTAAGTTTATAGTTAATGAGCCAGTTTGCTTAGCAGAGAAAGGAAAAATGATCTTACTTAGATACAAGATTGTTTATTCATCTTTTCATTTACTTTAGTTGCCATCTTTTAAGAATGGGAGTTTATATATTTCTTTTACAGTTCAGTATACATAGGCACATTATTTTAACATATCAGGTTCTTGTCATATATTTCACATTAATCTGAGTTAACAGCAAGGAGAAAAAGTTGTAGTTACTGGTGGTATAAACAGCTGGAGAGTTAAAGAATCTTGCCTCTGCTAAGCACTGTAGTAAGCAAAGATATTACAACATCACCATTTCCTGTAGACCTGTGTGTTTGTTAGTGTCACTACAATTATGACTTAGAATACAGTCTTGGAGTTGAAATATTTGACACAGGATAACCTTTTTATTTTATTTTATTTTTTCTAAAGGTAAATATTAATTTTTTGTAGACCTGCAAATGTGTGGGAATTACCTCCCCTTATATTTGTATAGAAACCCTTTATTTCTACTCTTGAATTTGATGCTGTGTTTTGAATTGGGTTATTTTTCATAAATTATTGTAAATTTGGAATGAATGTTAGCATATTTAAGAATTTTTGTTTGTTAAATTTGTTAAATCAAATATGAAAATAGGAGTTCATGTTTGTTAATCTTTGTACTGAATGTTATGAGTAATGATTTATTTGCAGTATTGTAAGTAATTATTGTATTGTTGCATAAACATATATATTTAATTCATTATGTCCTTTGTTTGGCAGTTAGGTATTCAAGATGAAAATAGATTGCTGATTTCTCAATATGAAGTACCAAGAACATGAAAATTGGTAATCATAGTTTAGTTAGAAATGGGTATGTGTGTATTAAGTCAGCTGTGGTATTGATTCAGGGAAAATTAGAAGTTGGTTCTTGTGATAAGTTTTGAAACTATTTTATTTTTATATTGTCCTAGGTTTTATTGCTTTGTTTTTTCAGGTTTCTGAACTTTAGTTTTTTACTTAAGTTTCTGTATTTTATCTAGATATCAAAGCCTTTTTTTTTTTTTTTTTTTTTTTTTTTTTTCCATTAACAAAAATGAGTGAACTTGGCAGAAATATTGGAGAATTATTAAATTGATTTCTCTCTGTTGCAGGCTTAGAGAGCAGTCAGTATGGACCCTCTCTTCCTCAATCTGAGCCTGCCACAGCAGGCCGTTGCTGCCACTTCCACACCTCCAGTTGCAAATCAGGTTAATGGCCTTCCACAGGAGTCAAAACTCGCCACATATATTAGTGTAAGTTGTGACTGTTTTGTAGCATTTTGGTGTAAGTTGCTGAAAACGTATTTATGAATTTTAAGTCCATCTGTCTGCATACTTTGTCAGTGTCCCCCATCATACCCGCTTGAACCCATTGTACCTACATATATTCATCGCAGCACCTATAGCATTGAAGGACCTCTGTCAGGCTCTAGTGTTAACCCTGCATCCTGTCCTGCAGTAGCAAGGCTTGAGAACTCTAGAAATGATTTATCTCTGCTCTGTTACAAAATCTCACTCAACAAAAAACTTTTAAAGATGCCAGATGCATCCCCCCATATCACATCCTCAAACATCCATTGACAATCTTTGTGTATGCATTTCTGTCTTCCTCTCCCTGCCTTGATTGACTGTCATGCCACAGGCTACCTGGCCTCCTTTTACTCTGTTAGCTCTAATCCTCTCTCTAAAATTTCTTCACTTATCTGCTCAATCCACACAAATATTAAACAGCCATAGAGACATCACACTCTTTTGTCAAAGTCAGATCTTAACCCATACAATCCTGATGACTTTACAGTTCCATCATGAATATTTCGTAAAATTGAAAATTACCAAAAAGTGAGATGAATGACACAAATAAACAAATGTTCCATATATTTTTTCCTTGCACTGAGTTATTTACTATATAGATGATATGGAGTATGTGGAAGGAAAATAAGGCATTACCATCTGGTTAAGGCAAATCTAAAAATGGACAATAGAAAATGGCAATAAAGCAAAAAAAGTTTACACAAAATAAAGGGGAGGCATAGAGTCTTGTCACTGCTCATGGGTGTTCCATGATTTCTGTGATGCAACTGGAACCAACAAGTTAACCCAGTAATGACAGGTGTCCCACATATGAGACACCCAAAAAAATAAACATTGCCGAGCATCCCACCAGTGTGACATTGTATCGGGTCTTGTGCTCTGTTGCAGCAGTGGGCCGCGGCTGGCGTTCGGACAGATTCCAGGCCAGCCCCGCGCGCTGATTTTGTAGCCGACCGGAAACTTTTATTTTTAGCTTCAAAATATACCAGTGGTAATGGGTTAACCTGTTGGAACCGGGTGCCTAGAGTAACCCAGAAATTTTTGCCATTTACCATAGTCTGTAGGTGTCACTTTATATGCTGTATTAACGGGATCGCCTTTTTTTCCGATTTTGATGAAACATTTTTTTTCTTTTTTTTTTTTTCCTCTCTAGCCTGATGTCTGTGGTAGACTTTTTATTTTATTATTTTTTTTTTTTTTTCGAAATCACCCCAAACAGTTTTTGAGTTGTAGTAAAAAAAAAAATAAATAAATAAAAATTTAAAAAAAAAAAAAGGAGAAAATTAACCAATATATAAAATCTTTTAAAAATTGCTCAGTCATTCTGATTGTTTTAGTTTACAAAATCATCCTTTATCTAGGGAATATAGGAAGCGCTTTTTATTTTGACTTTTCTTTCTTTTATTTAGAAATATTTTACCGAGTCAACTGGCAGGTGTCCGAAAAAGAAAAAAAAATTCATCACATATATATCAACTTTACACGAAGCACAGGGAAAAATAAACAATTCTGCTTCCTACATACCCTAGATAAAATGTTATCTATAAAATGAGCCATAATACATTTATCTTTTGCTAAAGTTGCGTTCAGTACACTTCTTGAAAAAAAATAAGTATACTTCTAAAATAATGGTTGTTAAATTATTTTTTCTTTTCATAATCCTTATGGTATGAAAACTTAACCCACTGGCTGCGGATGGCATCAAATGATGCACCGTGCAATTAAAAGCTGATCCCCTTCGAGCAGCGGGCGGCCGCGTGGCATGGGAGCTGAGTGGGCCAGGGAATATCAGCCGCCAAGCCGGCATTCCCCTTGCGGCCTTACAGGGCCCAGGCCCACCACCCCCGGGCCCGCGTGTGCGATGGGCTGTTTACCGGCAAATGAGTTGTTCGCCTATTGCGCGTGCTAAAACCACACCCGCCACTCTTTCTGAGCGCATTTACATATGTTTGCATGTTTGCATGTATTTGCAGGGGTTTTTGCAAATTTTTGCATACATATTTTTTCGCAGATATAAGTAAACAAAATATTTGCGCGAAAGAGGGAAGGCAGCACCACTGCGCGTGCGCACACTCAAGTGCGGTCCCATACGCCACCCGAGTTGAAAATAATGAAAATTAGGGGATTACGCGCCATATTGCATAATACCGCGACCAATGGGTTAAAGGGAGAAGCATACTCTTCCTAAACCTTAATTTTCTATCATCTACCTGCATTCCGAAGTACTCCAGACATTGCCAGCACATAACGGTTTCTCAAAATCTTTCGTATAGTGTAGCAGAGTGGCAGTAATTTTTCGTGTCTATAGGCCTACATTGACCATTTTTAAAAATTTATCTAAAATCCAAAAAAAAATCATACAGCCATTCTGATTTCATATCTGATTAGAACTATACTTTTACCATATTATGCAGAAGCCATTTTTTAGAAGTCAACCTTACCTCTTTTTTTTTGGGGGGGGGGTGAATATTTACCGAAGCCCACTATCTCGACACCCTAATAAGGGATACTGAAAATATATACCACTTTTATAAGAAGCACATGAAAATATTGCAAATCCTTATTGTATGAAGTAATAGATCTATTATTCAGCTACAAAATGAGCCATAATACATTCAAATCGGACTGAAAATATGTGTTCTATGCGTTAAAATGTGGAGGATCCAATAATCGTGATCTACCTTTTCATTATTTATACATTTTACATGACAAATCATGTATGAAATACTTGTATATTATATGATTATCTATTATTTACCTATTATTGTTGCTCTAATGAGGGTTTTTTTTTTAACGTATAATATTGGTCAGAAAAATAACCATTCTCCAGTCGGACGGGTATCATATGCGTCCTTTTCTCAGTGCGGCTGGGCGTTGTGGACCATGAAATACGATTCTTTGCATCTGCGGTATACTTATGTTTAAATCTACGGGGTCACGTCGCCAATTTTCACACTCAGACCCCATCTGAGTGTGAAAATTGCATGGCGATGTAAAAGTATGTATATAAGGTATATAAACACATATAGATCATATTTGAGTACCCCATGACCTTTTGTTTATTTATAGTTACTTCCATTTGTTTCTTTGTTTGTTTATTGTATTTGTTTGTTTGTAAGTGTTTTCTGATATTTCTAAAAGTTATGAACACATTTTAATGAGGTGTGTGTTAACCTAACTTAGACACTTATTGCGCCTTTGGTTAAACTCGCACTAAAATGTGTTTGTAACTTTTTGAAATATTAGAAAACACAAACAAACAAACAAATAAACAATCAACAAACAAACAAAGAAACAAATGGAAGTAACAATATAAATAAACAAAAGGTCATGGGGTACACGAAAATTATCTATATGTGCTCATATACCTTATATTCATACTTTCACATCGCCATATAATTGTTTTTCGTCTTTCCAAGGGGTCTGAGTATGAAATTTGGTTACATGACCTCATAGAGTTATTCCGCTGATGTAAAGAGACAATTTCATGGTCCACGATGCCCCGGCTGCGCTTGGAAAAGGATGCGTTTGGTACCCGTCCGACTGGGGAACAGTTATTCTTTCAACCAATAACATATGTTGTAAAACCCCATTAGAGCAACAATAATAGGTAAATGATAGATAATTATATCAAATATAAGTATTCCGTACATGATTTGTCATATAAGATGTAAGCATAATAAGAAGTTAAAAGATCGCGATTATTAGGTCCTTCACATTTTTATGCATAGCACACGTATTTTTAGTCTGATTTTAACTTATTATGGCTCATTTTGTAGCTGAATAACAGTTCTATTACTTGCTGCCATAAGGATTTGCAATATTTTCATGTGCATCTTATAAAAGTGACATATTTTCAGAATCCCCTATTAGGGTGTTTTAACAGTCACCTTCAAAGAATATTCACCAAAAAAAAAAAAAAAAGTAAGGTCAACTTCTCAAAAATGGCTTCTGCATATAATAGTAGTAGGATAGTTCTATTCAGACATGAAATCAGAATGGCTGTATGATTTTTTTTGGATTTTTGAGAATTTTTAAAAAATGGTCAGTGTAGGCCTATAAACCCCCCCAGATCACTGCCACCACTCTACACTATACGTAAGATTTTGAGAAACTGTTACATGCTGGGAATGTCCGGAAGACTTTGGAATGCAGGTAGATGATAGAGGATTATGGTGTAGGAAGACAAATCTTATACCTTGTTTTGTTGATAAGAAGATAGTCATGGAAAGATGAACAAAAACGCTATCTCAGGCGCAAATTTCGAACACACAGGCAATGGGAAGGGTCTTAAATAAAAGAGTGTGAGTTTCATGAAAATCGGCAAAAAAAAAAAAAAAAAAAAAAAAGCAGACGGTCCCCTTAACACCTTATTTTGAAGCCAAAAATAAAAGATTCTGTGCGGCTACAAAATTGGCGCGTGGTGCTGGCCTGGACTCTCCCTGCGCATCAGCCACGGTTGTCTCATATACGGGACACCCGTCGTTATTGGGTTAAGATGGTAATAGACTGATTTCCTTGCACAGACTTCATTTCACCTCTCAAGGTAGTCTACAACTCTGTACAATATCCAAAGGAATAAGCAGTATTTTGTTAATTGTGTAGATTTTAAATATTTCTGTATTATTTGATTTTCTGTAACACACCCTGCATCTCTGGTCACAGCAGGCAGGAATAGGATCCTGAGCATGGTAATAATGGCCTCCCAGGTGCTGGCACTTCCAGCTATGGCTCATAGGTGGTTCATTCCATCCTTAATTAATGAAATGATGCAAGGGCTCCTTCCAATACAAGTAATTTTTTTCCAAGAGCTTTGTGGCAAGTCATTCACATCACCCAGGCCCTTCAGCCATTTTTCATGATGACATTGCCCCAGCCAAATTTTTTCATGACATGATAGTTATATCACTCAGATCCAATGGGTTAATTTCAAATCAGTTACT